GACTCACAAGTGCCCATAACTCCAGTGCCAGGGATCTGATGTTCTCTTCTGGTCTCTCTTGGCACCTGCACTCATGAGGCATACATCCACACAATCACACATACACCTAAATAAATCTTAAAAAAAACCAAAACTGGAGAAGCTGGGCTTGTTGGCTCACATCTGTAATTCTAGCACTCTGGAGACTGAGGTGGGAGGATTGGCCAGCCAGAGCTACTTACTGTGTGTGTGAGACCTTGCCTCAAAACGCACACACATGCAGACATCCAGTGTAGAGGCATGCTGGCTAGAGCGGGTATCACTTAGTTAAAGGGATGGGAAATTTGAAAATGGAGTCAAAGATTAGATAGAAAAATTTCAGAGTTTTTCCAAAAGGAAACTACTGGGTGAAATGTGGGTAGAAAAAGAGGCAGTGGCTAATAGATTCCAAGAATCCAAGGAAAGTAAAATTTGTTTAAAGTAGAAAGAAAAATCAGATTAATACAAAGGAATGGGTTAGATTGACAGCTGACTACTCAGTAGTGCTAACAAATGCCAGAATTGAGAGGAGTAATGACTTCTTAATGCTGAGCAGGCACAGTCCACACATGTCTGTGTAGAGTTACATGAGGAGAGACTCCTTCACTGGAAAGATTTAACAGTTCCACAACTGCTTATCTGATACCAACCTGAAAACTCATGGAAGTGAAAAATTGACATTTTTATCAGAAATCAGTTGGGAAAGCTTATTGTATTCCTGTCAAATTGGTTAAGTAGACTAACCAATAGAATGAGAGTTAAAAATTAAAAACTTGTCTTATTTTGATCTAATATATTACCCAACACATATCCTATAGTATTTTTGTTTGTATCTGGAACAAGTCGCTGACTAATGCTGCACTAAAGGGTTTGAATATTGAAACAAATGCCAAAACAACAAAATTAGCATTTTGCCTATAAACCTAAAACTCTTGCATTTGAAAATTAAAAATGGAAAAACAATAACATAAGACTTATAAGACCTCTTTTTTTTTTTTTGTCTTTTCGGGACAGGATTTCTCTGTGTAACAGTCCTGGCTATCCTGGAACTCACTTTGTAGACCAGGCTGGCCTTGAACTCACTGAGATCTGCCTGCCTCTGCCTCCCAAGTACTGGGATTAAAGGTGTACACCACCACCTTAGAAATCATGGTTTGAAACTGAACATTTAGAGCTTAATAATGAATGAGAGAAGTACATATAAAAATCAAAGCTTTCCCAGGCATGTTGGGGCAGGAGGGTGACCAAGAATTTGAGAACAGCCTGGGCAATATAGTGAGTTCCAGGCCATTCTGGGCAGAGTTAGAACTAAAAACTAAAACCAACCACAGCAAATAAAAAACCCTAATGAATTTACCTTGCAACTTATAAAAATGGTATAGCTTCAAGTATATGACAAATGCCCCTTTCCACCCCAGGATAATCCCCAGAAAAGGGGAAACATTGTTTCCTTAGACCTTTCATTGCAAGATGCTACCTTCATTTTAAACATGAAAGTTGTATTTGACTTGAAATTCCTTTAATTCAGATGTGTTTGGAATGGTCATAGGACTTCTCTGATAAGTGATTTAACCATAAAAATAGGCAAAGAAATCCAGAGCAGAAAAGCTGGGCATGGTGGCGCATGTCTTTACTTGGGAGGCAGAGGCAGGGGGATCTCTGAGTTCAAGACCAGTCTGGTCTACAAAGCAAGTTCCAGGAAAGCCAGGGCTACAGGGAAAAACCCTGTCTCAAAAAACCAACACAAACAAAAAACTGAAAGAAAGAAATCCAGAACAGATTTGATCAAAAGAACCCAAATAACCTTAAAATTTAAAACCTCTAGTAATTGCAATGTAGATTTATTATTACTGTAGATTTGTAATACAAATGGGGTGTGTGTATCTTAATATATAGTTGTGTCCTGGGAGCAAAATTTGAATGATAGCATGATACATTTACTTAAAATTGCTAATGTTGAGCTGAGGGTATGGCTATGGGTAAAGTTACTGGCTGCACAAGTGTGAGGACCAGAGTTTGACTCCCCAGAATCCAGGAAATTGTGGGCAGGTGTGTTGATTACCTGTAATCCCATAGTATGGGAGTCGAGAACCAAAGAGTCTCAGGATAAGCTGGGCCAACTAGAGTAGCTGAATAGGTGAGTTCTGAATGAGAGACTCTGCTTCAGTATGTAAAATGTAGAGCACTTGAGGTCCTCTGGCCGCTACATGTACTCACATACATGTGAACATGTGTACTCACTCACATGTACATCACAATGCACATGAAAAATGGTGTTATTATAATCTTAAAAATTATTGTGATCCAAAAGAAAAGTTTTGATAATATATTCTTACATATGTGTAGGAGCAGTAAATTGTTCTCTTGACTATGAAAGAAACAAACTTCCTGAATCAATATTTTCTAGATTGTGTTTTAAACATTTATGTATGCCACTAAATGTTATAGATGAAATTTAATATCCAAGTGATAAAAGAATTTATCATATTCTCGCTGTTAGTGGAATTACTTTAGAGTTACCCTTAAACTTTTGGATATATTTAGCATATGATCTTGAGGCATTAATTAGTGAAGAACTGAGGTTGGAAATTACTTTGATATATTTTAGAGAGTACAGAATAACCCAGAGTAAGAGAAAGTGGAAGAAAACATTGAGAATTAATAGAAATTAACAAAAGTGAAAGATGAACAACTAAAACTGAGAAGTAATTTTTTTTTTAAGCTCAATAACCTAAGGGGACTTATGCCAGGATTAGTCAAGAAAAAACAAAACAAAACAGGCAAACCTTGATAGTATTAAGAATTTGAAGAGGGTCATAATCTTAACAAAGACATAAAAATCATGAGCAAGCACACTGACTACATTTCTGGAAATATATAATTGACCCAAGCTTGATAAAAAAGCAGATTTGGCTCTGGTGTAGGGATTTAAGTTTTTGGGCCATTTTATAGTTGAGACAACCATATGGCTGTTGATTGTGGAAGTTTAGGTAGCTAAAAAAGTCTGGAGATAGAAATTTTAGGATTCTGAGCAGTGAAAGCGAGCCAGTTTTGGAAGTTAAAAATTATTTTTCACTTTGCACATTATATAACCCAGGCAGACCTCAAACTTACTATGTATTCCACCTTGGCCTAGAACACTATCCTCCCAGTTGGGATTCCCATGCTGGGATAACAGGTGTATACCACCATGCATGGAAGCTGTTAAAATCAAGGCCTATTCATGATAATATCTGAACCAAAGGAAGGGCACTTAGGATAGAAAGTGTTAGAGACAATTTGGCCTGTCCAACTGTAAATGCGTATGTGTTGGGGGCGGGAGGTCAAGGAATAGGCTACAAAAAGTTAAGGAATGGGTGTTTTATTTTTCCACCTGAATGTCATTACCCAGTAACTCATATCTAAAAAAAAAAAAAAAAAAAAACCAAAGCCAATCGGTGGTAACGCACACCTTTAATCCCAACACTCAGGAGGCAGAGGCAGGTGGATTTCTGTAAGTTCAAGGCAAACCTGGTCAACAGAGTGAGTTCTAGGACAGGCTCCAAAGCTACACAGAGAAACCCTGTCTCGAAAAACAAAACAAAACAAAACAAAAATCAAGAGCATATGCTTGAGTAAAATTTAGGGAAATTACCTTATTTGAGTGTGTGTTAATTTAGCTGTCTGTGCCTGCAGATATCTTGGCAGTGATAGTCTCTACATAATTTTATCTGTAATGTCTGATGTAGCATTAGTCACAGAAAGGTTTGGAACTGAAATCTTTTTTCCTAGACAGCCGATAATGATAAAGGGTTGGTAGATTTCTCAGAAAGGCAAACTTGTTGTTGATGTTTCTTAGTAAGAATGTTTACCCAAGACCACAGGGTAGTCCTTTGTTAATAAGATGTGTTGCTTTAGTGAGAGAAGTTACACATCAGCATTAGCTTAGGACCATTCTGTTCAGTGAACCACCAGGTTCAGTGGAGGCCACTAGCTAGCTAGAGACTAGCACTGGAGTTGCTATGTAGAGCTGTGGCTGCCTTCCACACCTTAGGTGAATAAGCGAGTGTGTATTTTTCTCAGGTTTTAGAATTTCAAAAAACTAATTTTTAAGGAAAACAATTTTGATCAGCATTTTTTATATCTGACAATACAGAAGAAAGGTATTGTTGAGTTTTCCTTAGCACTTGAGTCTGCCCATCTACATTTTTACTGTCCTTTCCACATAAGGCTGGGTGCGTGGATGAACTTGTATGGGAGAGCCAGTCATTGGATCCTTAGAAATCACATTTTTCTTGCTGTTTTAATAGAGTAACATTCTTGATGCTATGCTATTTGAGACATGCGTTGCTTTCAGACCATATGTGGTGATATATTGTGCACCTTAATAAACTTGACCTGAGGATCAGAGGACAGAGCCAGCCACTAGATTAGATACAGAGGTCAGGCAGTGGTGGCCCACACCTTTAATCCTGTCACTCGGGAGGCAGAGAACTGTCTGGATCTCTGTGAGTTCAAGGCTATACTGGGAATCCAGTATAGGAGAGAAACAGAGCCAGGCGGTGGTGGCACATACCTTTAATCCCAGCACTTGAGATTTCATGCCTTTGTTTGGGAAGCACAGACGCCTTTAATCCCAGGAAGTAATATGGCAGGGCAGAGAGAAGTATGTAAGGCGTGAGGAAACAGGAACTCCCTCTCTTTAGGATTTCGTAGAAGTAAGAACTAGTGGCTGGCTGTTCTGCTTCTCTGATCTTTCAGCTTTCACTCTTATATCTGGCTCTGGGTTTTTTATTAAAAGACCATCTAAGGTTCGAACAACAACCATATACCAGTCTTTTTAGGGAATGTGAAATACTAGCCGAAGACATTGAACATGAGTGTAAGAGAACACAGTGTCGCTTCTAACGTGCTTTTAAAGTACTCTCCTTTTTTCCTTTTTGTGTGAGCTACAGCTAAAACCTAATATGAACGATAATGAAGTGTACTTTTTCCTTTAACAGGCGATAATAGTTTATAGAAGTGAAGAGTTCCTAAAGAAGGTAACAAACAAGAGAAGGAAAATGCCGAAACCAGTAAGTGTACTTTGTTTCTCTTGACACTGCTTAGCGTTTTGTGGGTTGTGAAGACTAATCATGGGGACAGTACAGTTAAGGTTAAAGTTAATGAAATTTGGGACCAAGCTGTCTAGTTCTATTCTACTTTCATAGTTAATCTCTGTGACTTTTGTTTAATCCATTTTGCTCTTGATTTCCTTTATATAAAATAGGGATATAATTTAATTTGCTCAAGGAAAGGGACAAGGATTATAAAAAGAACCTAGTATACATTTAGTGCTCAATAAATGTAACTTATTGTTAGGAGAAAATAGTGAGAGGTATGCAGGACCTATGCCTTTTACCTTTCTCCTAATTAGAACTTGGATGATAGCCTAGATTTGTGTACCTTGATCATTTTCTTTCTCTTGGAAGTTTGTGCTTCTTGACTAAGATCTACTCCTTTTGTTTTAGGGTAATAAAAGAGACTATTTTCTTCAGTGTTTCTTTTGGCTATCAGTGTGTCTGTGTATGGCCCGTAGTAGCCTTGAATTCATAATCCTGCTCCTTCAGTGTCTTGAGTCTTGGGATTAAGATAATATAGGTGGGGTGGAGAGATGGCTCAGAAGAGTTAAGAGAACGTTTTGTTATTGCAGAGGACCAGTGTTCCATTCCAACACCAATGTCGGGAGGCACACAACCTCCTCTAACTAACTCTGGCCCAAGAAGATTTGATATCTCTGACTTGTATAGGAACCAAGCATTCATGTGCACAAATCCATGTACACACATGCACATAATTTAAAAACAAATGAAGCTTTAAAAAACTTATAGGTATGTGGCACCATGACTGGCCCAATTACATTTTTTAGGAAAAGTGTTGGTTATTCGAATTTTCTGGCATGGATATCACTGTGGAATGACTTGGTGCAAAAGAAGGTTAAAAATGCGATGTGAAAATCAGAAAGAAGTAAAACTGTGTGTGCACGCACACATACTTTCAGAGGCCAGAGGAGACCATTATTAGTGTCTTTCTCCATCTTTCACTGAACCTGGACCTAGGCTGGTGGCCAGCAGGTCCCAGCGATCTTCTTTCTGTCTCCATAGCACTGGGGTTGCAAGTGTGGGTGGGTACAGCCATACTCAGCTTTCTGGGCATTGAAACTCAGCTCTTCTTCCTGCAGGCCAGTACGCCTCAGTGCTGAACAGTTCCTCACCCTAGAGCAAAAGTTTCTGTTTGTAAGTGACAGGATATTTCTTCAGCCGATCCTCATAAACCCAAAGCAGCTACCACAACTAATAATGAAACTAAATTATATTATTATACATACAGTTTTAAAAAATGAAAAATTTCATATATTAGCATCAGAGTTGAAAAATGAATGTTATAGCACCAGAAACAAAATACTTGGGACTAAGTATAGAGGTGACACCGAAAGCTTATCATGATAAAGATCTAACTGTGTGGAGAAATATACAGTTCTTAATGTGTCCCTTTCCTCCAGATGTGTCAGTAGATTTAATTCTGTCCTAATCATTTTGAGTCCCAGCGTTCTTCTTGGGTAGGGTGGGTAAAGACTGCTAAAGAAATGGAAAACAAACGCGGAAAACTTAGAAAGTTGGATTGAAGTTCTTTCTTTTCAAGCCAAAAAAGTAAGAAAGGAATATCTGTAACTTTGCAGTTTATTTTTAGCAGGGATGTGAAACGTCATAGCTACTTTAGAAAGTATAGTTTGTCTTACAGTTAATATTTGTTACTTATATTCAAATTTGTGTATTAGTTGAAGATTAGTTCTATGTGTTGTCAGCACATGAAATATCCTTGGGGCTAGACAGGTGGCTCAGTAGTTAAGAACACATACTGCTCTTGCAGAGGAGCTGAGTTTAGTTCACAGCATCCATGCTGGACAGCTTACAGTTTCCTGAAATTCCAGCTCCAGGGGATCTGCCACTCTCTTCTGGACCCTGTTGGCACCTGCACCCATACAGTGCTTATTCCAGCACACAGAAACACATCTTTCTCTTTGAAATGCATTTTATTCTTTGATACTTTCATACAATGTATTTTGATCATATTCACCCACTCCACTTCAATGCCTTAATTCTTCCCAGAACCACCCTACCTTCTTTTTCCCTTTCTAATTCCCTGTCCTCTTGTTCTTAATTTTTTTAGTAATCCACTAAGTTCAGTTTGTGCCAGGGCCACCATTATATCAGGGCCAACCTACCATGAGCACACCCTTAAAGAAAACAGGCCCATTTCCCAGAAGCCATTGATTGTCAGTAGCTGTTGTCAGTTAGGGATGGAGGCTCATGAGCCTTACCCCATGCTAGACTGTTGACATTAAAAGGTAATGGTCTTTTCATCACACCTTTGTTATTTGTGTTGTACTTGATTTTCCTTCCCATCTGTTCTCTTTGTGTCTCTTTCCCCATCCAGTCAGTCCCCTCTTCTCCTTTCTTAGCACATGTATTCCCCATCCTACCCCCACCTAAGGTCTCTTCTCTTATGATCTGCTTTCTAGTTTGATCTCTCTCTCTATCCCTCCCTCCCTCCCTCTCCGCCTCCCCCACTAAAATCTAAGTTTTGCTTTTTTGCATATGGGAGAAAACATGGTATTTGTATTTCTGAGACTAACTGACTGACTTTGCTCAGTGTGACGATTTCCAGTTGCATCCATTTTCCTATAGATGTCTTGATTTTATTTTTCTTTGTGGCTACGTAAAAGGCCATTGTGTATAGCTACCACATTTTTATAGGGTATCCGTTTATTTGTTAACAGATACCTAAACTGATTTCATTTCCTGCTTATTGTATAGCAGCAGGCATGGATGTGCAAGAGTCTCTGTGGTGTGTCAATTTGGAATCCTTCAGCTGTAGGCCCAGGAGTGGTAGAGCTGGACCATACGTTCTGCTCGTCTTGTTTGGAGGAACCTCCATACTGATTTCCACTGTGGCTTCACCAGCAATGAAAGAGATTCCTCTTTCCCCAAAGCCTTACCAGCATTTGTTGTCATTTATTTTCTTCAAGATAGCTATTTTCACTGGAATCTCAAAGCAAATTGTTCAATTTATCATTTATTATGCAAAGTAACAGGTTTCCTTATGGCATCTTCATACATACATTTTATAATGAAGAAATACGGGATAGTGGATTAACATTAAAAGAATCAGGAGTTGTGTTCAGTTTAAATATCTTCTCTGTTGTTTAATACCCATGTGTCCTTGGTTCTCTTCGTCTGTGCTGTGGGTTCCAGGGATCAAACTCAGGTCATCGGGCTTGACAGCAGGTGTCCGCCTTTGCTCATTAAGCCATCTTGATCACCCTCCAATAGTTACTTTGAATGAGGTATTCATAAGCTTTTCTTTCCTTCTGCTTTTAAGATTTCCTGTAATAAGAGTCAAGCTGTATCACTTTTAATAAAATGTTAGGGCTGGGGCGTAGATCAGTCGTGGAGCACTTGACTGTCATGTGCGAGGGCCCATTTCATTTCTCAGTACTGTCCACCTACCCCAGATTTTTTAAACGTACATGTATATGCCTATAATCCCATCAGTGAGGAGGCTGATGGGGCAGGAGCATTGCAAGTAGGCCAAGCTTAAATTACATAGCAAAACTTTATCTCAAAAAAACCAAGGGCTAGGGATGTAGCTTAGTGGTAGAGATTTGCGTTGCATGCACAAAGCCTTGGATTTGATCCCCAGCATCATATCCCACACAAATAATATAACTCAAAGAATTTTCTCATGCTTACTGCTTTGTAAATATATTCTTTCCTAATCACTGTCCTTTTTGGTTTTATTACAGATCAATGTACGAGTAACTACAATGGATGCTGAGCTAGAGTTTGCCATTCAGCCCAATACAACTGGCAAACAACTTTTTGACCAGGTATCATTTAATCCCACAAAGCATGTAACTGTGTGCGGTTTATGTGTGTGTGTCTTTGGTGGGGTACACATGCTGAGGCCAGAGAAGATCAAATTATTCTCTGTTTTATTGAGACAGCATCTGTCACTGAATCTGGAGTCAGGCTAGTGGGTCAGCAAGCAACAACAGTCCTGTTTGTACCCATCACAGTACTAGTGTTACAGGTGTGAATGGCCAAGTACAGCTTGTTAACATGGAGACTAAAGCCTGAACTCCTCAGGCCCTCATACTTATGCAGCAAGCAATGTTAACCAGTGAGCCATCTCTCTGATCCCAAAAGATGCAACTTTGATACCGTTGTGTAGATGCAATTACTTACATCTTATATTTTCTGTGTCTTTCTTGATAATTCAACAATGTAGTGCTTGGAATTTTTAACAGTATATATTCAGGTAGTTTGAAAACTGTAGGGATATTTGTATATTATCATTTCTACTTTCATGGGTAAGTCTGGTGCATTTAAAAACATAGATAAAAGCATAGAAGCGGCCAGCCAGGATGCTCAGCAGGCAAAGATACCTGCTGCCAAGCCTGATAGCCTGAGTTCAACCCCCACAACCCACATAGTGGAAGGAGAGAACTGGTGCCTTAACATTGTCCTTTGATGTCAACATGCATGTCATATTTGAGCTCAAGAGAAGATTTTACCATAAAGGCATGATAAATAAATAGATATCATTAATATAATTTAGACTTTATGTAGTGTACACCTATAGTGAGACATTGTTGCCTCAGCTCTCCCTAGCTTTTAGTAACTTCCGTCTACTTCTCTGAGAACAGCTCTTTTTAAGATTCCACACATGGCTGAGAGCATGTGTATTGATCATTGTATCTACGCATTCATATTCTGAATGTTGGTCTAACTTATTAAAATTGCTACCTGTCATTCTTTCAGCAGTTCTTTTTTTTAAAGCTCTTTTTTCTTTCTCTCTTTCTTTCTCTCTTTCTCTCTTTCTCTCTTTCTTTCTTTCTTTCTTTCTTTTAATGTGCACTGGTGTTTATTTATTTGTTTTAATGTGCACTGGTGTTTTTGCCATGGATGTCGGGTCCCCTGAAACTGGCATTATAGACAGTTGTGAGCTGCCATGTGGATGCTGGGAATTGAACCCAGGTCTTTTGGAAGAGCAGTCAGTACTTTAACCTCTGAGGCATCTCTCCAGCCCCACTTTCAGCAATTCTTACGTTACTGTTCTGTTTCTTAACTTTTTTGAGCCCGAATACCCACAAACTGAAAGCAGTACCTTGGCTGTAGTGAAGATATAGGATAGCCAGTGGAAAGGTTCAGGTAAGGCTAGGAGCAGATAGGGCCTCTCATAACTTCATATGTGTACATGTAACAAAACCTCAGTTTTTTAAGACTAGAATTTGCTGAATCAAATAAGATTCTTAAAATAATTCCCACAATAGGCAGTTCAGAGTTAAGTGTCACATTTGCAGAACATTGTTGAGTCTTTACACAGAAGTATATATTACCTGCATAATCCTATCATGGGTTTCCAGCTTCTACAGTGTATGGATGGGTTAGGGTCTTAATTAATATGAACATGTATCCCCACAGTGCAAAAGCATGTCATTACTATTTTCCTTGTCACTTCTCTTCGAGTATGCAAGAAGATCTCTTGGGGTACAAGAAATATTGAAGTATTTGTATTTTTGTTTTTCTTCCAAAGTCTTTACAAATCAGTGTTATTGAGTTTACTAGCACATTTGTGAATAGCCATCTACTGCAGTTATGCTTCTGACAGTGTTTACTTGCAAAGGTGGATGAGAACTTTCTGATGGCATGTCTAGAGAGAAGAGGAGCCACTGGGGAGCTCAGGCCTGTTTTTGAATTTCCAGGCTGAGCTCTCTGGATGATAGTGTCTGTTGTGATAGTTACCTCCCTGTGTCCTCTGTAGTACCTTCTGAATGGTACATTCATGCCCTTTCTGTTGAGCCAACATTGAGAATGTCAGCAGGGAGGCAAAAGCAAAGGCCAGTTGTTTGGTTTCACGTCTCTCGAGTTTGAATGTTTTCTGTACTTCTCTTGGGTCAGTTACTTGTGTTGTTGCTGTGAGAAAACAACCTTACAAAAGCAACTTAAGGAAGGAAAGGTTTATTGTTGCTCACGGTTTTCAGATTCAGTCCATCACAGCAAGGAAATCATGGCCGCTGGAACCGGAGGCAGCAGTTCGCATTGTATCCACAGTTAGGAAGCCATGAATGATGGATGCCTGATTTCAGCTCTTTGTTGTTGATGAGTCCACATCTCTGGCTTGTGAAATGGTACTACCTTCGTGCTCACATTTAGGATGGGTCTTTCAAGTTCAGTTAACCTAATCCAGATAATCTCTTGGAGGCACAGGCAAAGGTGTGTCTCCTAGGTGATTCTAGACCTTGTCAATTTGGCAATATTACCGTCACATTCTCTTTGTCAGAGTTCACTTAACAGTTTTCATTGTTTGTTACTGATTTGCTTTTGCATCATCAGTATAAGTCTTTGTATTTTGTATCCCCCCCCAAAAGTTTCTGCTTTTTTTTTTTTAATATTTCTTAGCTATTTTTTTCTTATTTCTTATTTGTATCATTTAAGTAAATTTTTCAAGTAAGGGAAAGTAAACTGAAGAGTTTGGTTTGCTGTCTTGAAAAGAAGTCTCTTAAGATTGTCCTCTAGCCGGGCGGTGGTGGCGCACGCCTTTAATCCCAGCACTCGGGAGGCAGAGCCAGGCGGATCTCTGTGAGTTCGAGGCCAGCCTGGGCTACCAAGTGAGTTCCAGGACAGGCGCAAAGCTACACAGAGAAACCCTGTCTCGAAAAACCAAAAAAAAAAAAAAAAAAAAAAAAAAAAGATTGTCCTCTAAAAAATTAGCCAGACTGGAGAGATGGCTAAATGGTTAAGAGCACTTGTTGCTCTAACAGAAGACCCAGGTTTGATTCCCAGTACCCACATGGTTGTTCACAGGAAACTGGACAGTCTCATCTGACCTTGTCAGCACACATGTGATGGAAAGACACATGTAGGCAAAACACTCACGTATAAAATGAAATTATTAAATAAAAATTTTTTTGTTTAAGCCGGGCGGTGGTGGCGCACACCTTTAATCCCAGCACTCGGGAGGCAGAGGCAGGCAGATCTCTGTGAGTTCGAGGCCAGCCTGGGCTACCAAGTGAGTTCCAGGAAAGGCGCAAAGCTACACAGAGAAACCCTGTCTCGAAAAACCAAAAAAAAAAAAAAAAAAAAAAAAAAAAATTTTGTTTATATTAGCCAAAAGTGCTTACTACTTAAGTGAAGTTAAATCTTTTGTAAAAGTTTTAAATCTAATGTCTTCTCATCATTCTCCTCATTTTAAGTACAAGTGGCTTTTTCAAAAAAATACTGTAATGTGGTGGTATCCTGGTGTGCATTCTAGTTCTGCCACTTTATTCTAGTCCTCAGAATGCTTATCACCCTTAGATGTTCATATGCATCATGTGCAACACAGCTCTCCCCTCAAAGGGAGTGGGTTTGAGCTCTTTAGGAACACATACACAGGTTGTTGTGACTACATCCCACTGTGGAAGTGGTTCCATGGCTTGCTATAGTCACGGAACCAGAAAGAAGCACACTGGTGGGGACAGCAGACAGATGGCTTACAGCCAGTAGGGTAAAACTGTGCTGTGTTTCAGATGTTATCTGATGACATTCTTAGCTTAGGGTGTGTAGAAGCTGGTGATCTAAACTAATGGAGTCTGAAGGTGGTTTGTTTGTTTGTTTTTGCTTTTTTTAAAAACTAGATAGTTGAAAGGATGTTAGGTCAACTAAAGAAGTGCACAGTGAATGGCAGTTACAAGGACTAAAGATAACCATAATTTGTGCATCTATAACATTTCAACTCTTGTGGAATCTTCAACATAGTGTGGCTTTTTCCTGGGAACTTCACACTAGTCTATCATAGATTTCAAGAGGAATAAAATAATGATATCATTATTGTCCTTAAGTGCTAAGACACTTAATGTGTTAAGACACATAAAAAGACACACTGTAGCCAGTTGACATAGGGAATAGGTGACTAATTTAATTTCTATGATAGAAGAGATTTATTCACAGAAAGAATGTTAGTTGATCTGGGACTTAAAGAATGAATTATTCAGTGGATGATAAAAATGTAGAAGATTTCTGTGCAGAAGCAAAAGCGTGAGCACTGATGTAGAATGGTGAAACTTAGGCATGGTCCAAGAGTTGTTTCAGTGAAGGTGGAATATTGAAGACACCAGACTCTGTCACCAGATTGATGGGCTTTGCCCTTGGTACTGGTGGGACACCTGAGGTAATCAAGTAGGACTGTAGGCTTTGCACGTCTGTGCTTCTGTCCTTCAGACTCTTCTTCTGTTGATTGAGGCTGGGATGTGAGCTAAGGAAATGAAGATAGAAAACACTGAGTCAGGGAAGAAGATAGAAGTGGTGTAGCAGGATTGAGGATAAAAAACCTGAGTGATGTTTTCAGAAATACTCGGACCATCTCAAAAGAAAAGAGTGTGTTAAAGGAAAGCCCTTTCCTATGGCACGTCTGCTTGTGTGCTTTTGTCCTTGTGAGCTGTAGTGTTGAGGGTCATCTGATTACAGTGTGAGTGTTGAACTGAATTTGTTTATCTGTTCTGTAGGTTGTAAAAACAGTTGGTTTACGTGAGGTCTGGTTTTTCGGGCTGCAGTATGTAGACAGCAAAGGATATTCTACGTGGCTTAAACTGAATAAAAAGGTAAGATGTGTATAGTAACATTAAATTAATTTGATGTGTTTATTATCCTGTGCTGGAAAAGCACAGGTTCTGACTATCTCCAGGCCTCTTTTTGCAGTTGTCTCTTAATCACTATTCATACCTTTTAATTCATTGAAGCACCATCAACATTACCACACACACTCTGTGAACTGAGCTTGTGAGAAATAGAACTTTGAAGCAGGAGTTAATGTGTTAAAACTGAGCATGCAGCTGTAAACATCTACAGGATGAGCTCTGGCACCCAAAGCACTTTTCATTCTGCTGTGGACTGGGCTCCCAGAGCTGCAGGCAGCTTCGGGACCATGCACAGGAGCTTCTTCAGCACATGTGTTTGTCTACAGGCTTATGTATAGCATGACTATCTACTTCCTTCAAAAAAGAATTTGATGTAAATGTATTCATTTACAGTGAATTAAAAGTTTTGTTGATTACACTTGAAATTACTATTCTAGGTGACACAGCAAGATGTTAAAAAAGAAAATCCTTTACAGTTCAAGTTTAGAGCTAAATTCTTTCCTGAAGATGTGTCTGAGGAATTGATTCAAGAAATAACACAGAGACTTTTCTTCTTGCAAGTTAAAGAAGCCATCTTAAATGATGAGATATATTGCCCACCAGAAACTGCAGTTCTTTTGGCTTCGTATGCTGTCCAAGCCAAGTATGGAGATTATAATAAAGAGATTCACAAACCAGGATACCTGGCTAATGACAGACTCCTACCACAGCGGTGAGTAAAGCATGCCTTCATTTAATATTCTCTAAAGTTACATTTCAGAAGCATATGCTAAATTTCTTAAAAAGACTTTCAAGTTGCCAGTTGGCTCATAGACTGTATTTTTAAAGATCACAACACAGATTTGTATATGTTCCACTGTGTTCATGTCTGTAGGAGTGCAGCAAAAGGAGGTTATGATTTGGTCTTGAGGGAAGGATCTGAATTATTGTTTTATAAACATTGGAACACAGCAGGTAGATACATAATAAACACTGTGAGAATAGTAAGTGGCGAGAGCTGTTTCTTCCAGAGACTGAAGTTTTCTGCATTTTGCAAAGACTTTAAACTAGGCTCAGCATGTAGTGTAGTCCCACCTTTGTAACACTCAAAGCAACACGGGAAACACAGAACTGAAGGATGAGGTTTGGGAACTGAATCTAATCTGTTCTTTGCTAATTACACGACCTCAGATTTGTAATCCCTAAGGATCCACCATAAATGAAAATGGTTAATCTATAGCCTAAGAGAATTCCAATCAAAGTCTTTGTTTTTTTTTTTTTGGTTTTTTCGAGACAGGGTTTCTCTGTGTAGCTTTGCGCCTCTCCTGGAACTCACTTGGTAGCCCAGGCTGGCCTCGAACTCACAGAGATCCGCCTGGCTCTGCCTCCCGAGTGCTGGGATTAAAGGCGTGCGCCACCACCGCCCGGCTCAAAGTCTTTGTTTTTATAGTATATTATAAATATATTGCTTTTGCTGCTTAGGCATTAAGAGTAGAAAATATGACTATGTTTTGGTTCACAGTTGAGTAAGAACATTGGCAGAATACAGATGAACACAAAGGTTCCTAGAGGAGAGGTGTGTGGCGCCGACATGTGATGCAGAGTGTGCCTTCTTTCTTTTGATGGCACAGGGTTTAGTGTGGAGTACAAACGGGCCTTGAGCACATTATGTAGCCCACATTGATTTCAAATTCAGAATTGGTGTGCCTCAGTTTCTTAGGTACTGGGATTATAGGTGTTCACCACCATGCTCAGCTTAATGTATGTTTTCTTTCTTTTTTAATAAAAAGTATTATCTACACAAAATGACAGTGTTAAATTTAGTCAAAAAATAGTAGCCATGGAGAATAAGGGGATGATCAGGACTCAAGAATCCATTTTCCTGTTTGTCCTTAATTTTCTGTTAGTAATAAGATAGCTATTTTTTTCAATCCAGGGTATGGTTTGTTTGAAACATTTGAATTCTTATAAACTATATAATGCCCACCTTAAAGCATGAATTATTTAAAATAATTTAAGCTATCTAATACTTTGTTTTAGCTTTCCCTAGTAACATCTTCTATGATTTCAGTATTCATCCAGGATACCAGACACAGCCCATCACTTTGTTCTATTCCGTGTTTATATCCTCAGTTGTGTTTTTAGTTCTGTGCGGCCTTAGCCTGTGCATTAATTTGTGTGACCGGTATCTAGTCAGGTTATGAAAGGACTCTCTAGACGGGAAGGAACTTGATCTTTGGATCACAGAGTCATTAACTACATTCTTTTTCCTTCCAGTGTTTTGGAACAACACAAACTGACCAAAGAGCAGTGGGAGGAGCGGATACAGAACTGGCACGAAGAGCACAGAGGGATGCTGAGGTACTGGGCCTGTTCTCTGCAGTTCTCTCCACATGAGAGCGCTCTCTCACCTCAGTTCGGATCTTCAGCTGATGGTGCTGCTGCACCTGATAACCGGAGTGGACTCCCCAGAGCCCACATGGTGGGAGAGAACCAGCTGCAGAGGGTTGCGGGGTGGATTGGGTGGTTTATTTCTTTGTTTCTTTGTCCATCCTTCCTTCCCTCCCTCCTTCCCTTCCTCCTCCTCTCCTTCCTTCTTTTTAAATCAAAAATATTATCTAAATTTAGTCACAAATAGTAGATATGGAGAATAGATAATCAGGACTCAAGAATTCTTTTTTCCTGTCTGTTCCTTAATTTTCTGTTAATAATGAGATAGCTATTTTTTCAATCCAGAGTATGATTCATTTGAAACATTTGGGTTCTTGTAAATTATATAATACCCATTTTAAAGCATAAATTATTTAAAGTAATTTAAGCTATCTAAAATGGTTTTAGCCTTCCCTAGTAACTTCTTCTATGCCTTCAGTATTCAGCCAGGATACTGACTCTGACACAGCCTGCAAACACGCTATGGTTCACGGGCCCCTATGCACACTCATGCACGCACACACGCACCGAGTAAATAAATAAATAAATGTTAAGGTTTGTGATGGTACCAGACCAGGTTATATGTCCCATGTTTTGATGTGGATAAATAAGTATAAAGCATTAAATGTTAGCTCCATGTGTTTCTGTGGTTTTAGTTTGGTGTTTAGTTGTGTCTACTGAAATATATTACATTCAGCTGTATTTTAATAGGGAGGATTCGATGATGGAGTACCTGAAGATTGCTCAAGATCTAGAAATGTATGGTGTCAACTATTTTGAAATCAAGAATAAGAAAGGCACTGAATTGTGGCTGGGTGTTGATGCTTTGGGTCTGAATATTTATGAACATGATGACAAGTAAGTGAATGACTGTCTAGTGAGCTGGTTGTTCTGTGATCTCAGTGGCTTTCACATTAGCTCTGCCTGGAAAAGTTGTCTTGATTGTCCTTGCTTTCTGTTCTTACCGTGAAGGGTTAGTTAGTTCCATAGTGAGTTTTAGCTTTCAGTTCTATATTTCCTAGTACCTTTTAGTTTGGGAGTTCCTTCTGAGTCTGTTTATTAACTGAGAGGGTTCACCTGTGTTTGCAGTATTTTTTGTCTCTTGTGAGGGAAAGCTAGTAACAAGTAAATCTCTTCCTCAGTAAGTTAAGAGAGTCCTTAATGTTGTTGTAGTTGACTAGTAGCTTGAAATAAGTTAACATACAGAATAAGTCAAGAGCAAATAAATCAATAGGTGTGTTTAAACATTTTCTTATAGGAATTGTTTTGCATATTTTTAAATACCAGTTCAATAGATTATATTATTCATTTTTTATCTCTATTCATAATGGCTAGTGTAATACTATGTTGAATTTGATCAACTTAATTTTTTATATACATACACAATTCATGTTGTATATGATACATCATGACCTTACAATATTAATATACATATTAATACTATAATGTATATATTAAAGTAGTATTAGTTATGTGTGTATATACAATATTGATATATATTAATACTATATGTATACTATAAATGGATGATATAAATGTGTAATACAATGTGACTTTATCAGGCTCATAGTCCTTTTCGAGTATAAAAATTAAGGGCTGGAGAGATGGCTCAGCAATTGAGAGTATATGCTACTCTTAAAGAGGATGTGAACTTGATTCCTAACACCTGTGTCTCAAAGCTCACAACTTTCTCTAACTCCAGCTCTAGGGAGAATGGATTCATTTGGCCATCTGCAGTCATGTGCACAGATACACACATAACTAATAATAATAAAATCTGTTCTAAGTGAATAATAAGTCTATGCTAGTGATCCCTCCCATTCCAGGTATTCTGCAGTCTACTATTAAAGCAGGTTGGGCTGATTTATCTCATTGGCCATTAGAGGGCAGAATAAAATGCATATTGATTATATAAATAAGTAGCTATGCTATACTACTTATTAAGCACTAAAAGTAGCATAAATAGGTAGAAAATCTTGTTTGCTTATCAGGAACCTGACTAAAATGGCCTGTATATGTGTCATAGTCATTGTAGTTGTCATGAGGACAAAATGATTCCATTCCAATATGTTTATGGGTAAGGTGCCAAAATGGGAGTGACAGTTGCTAGGCACAGTGGCTCACATTCTGAAATCCTAGTACTTGAGTGTTCAGGCTGGTGGAATGTAAGTTCTAGGCCTGCCTGGTCTACATGAGAGCCTTGGCAGAAACAGTAGACGAACGGGGACTCGGGAGGAGTAGAGGTGAAGTAGGAGTCTCCTCCGTTTGTCAGAACCGTTTTGTTCACATGTCATGAAAGTAACCTTCACGTTTCACTGAAGATTGTGAAGAGGAAGTCTTCAGTACTCAGTGCTTTATGTCTGTATTCCACGGGAGAATTTAGTTACTTTCCCCTGCCGAACTGGTACTTGTAGCTTAAGACTCAACATAATAAAAGCTAAACAGAAGAAATTCCAGCCCGAAGAGACTCAGTCCAATACTCTATTTACCAGATAGATTTTCCTGGGTAATTTGAAGAAAATGGCACATCTATGAAAACCTTGAATGGTTATTATTTTATGTGATTTAATTAAATTTTCCTTTCAAAGTTAGCATCAACTGTATAGTGTGAGTAAGATAATATGTTTTGAGAGTCTGGAGCTCTTAAGCCTGGTCATTCATGTAACCTGTTCCAGAGGGATCTGTATTTTCCCACTGTTTCCTGCCTGAAATGTAAAGCAATATTCTTATATTTTTTTTAAAGGTTAACACCTAAAATTGGTTTTCCCTGGAGTGAAATCCGAAATATTTCATTTAATGACAAAAAATTTGTTATAAAGCCAATTGACAAAAAGGCACCCGTAAGTATTTTTTTGTTTATTAACTTAACATTTTCTACTCCTTTCTGTGAAGTCACTTAGAGAAGGGCACTCATCGTCCTGAGTTGTTTCTGCGGGAGAGTCTTTTCCCATAGTTAAATTTTTCTCAGTGATGAAATGCTATTAAAAATACAAAATTTTCCGTTTTTCTTAATAAGATGTAAAATTTTTTACTGTGATTTAATTATGATTGGTAATGTTATTGGAAGGGTAATAACAATCATTCCTAAGAAATAATTTAAACAGCATTTATTGGTGCAAGAATGTAGTAGAGGTAACCCTTTTTAAATTAACTCTGTATTCTTATACTCTGAACTGTTTTTAATATTTGTGACTTACATATTTCTATTTTGATTTTTAATGATTAGTGTCACATATACTTTAGTATTCTATCTTTGTTATCTAAAAGATAAATATTTGAAGAACATTTCTAGATTAAAACATAGCCATGGAGAAAGACCAGTTTTGACAGTAATGGGAAAACACACCCTTCTCTGGGGTGTAAGGATAGCTATCAGTAGTTTCTTTGGAGAATAAAAAGAATTCATGACATTTAGTTCATTTTAGAAATGGGTGAGGGATGAAGTGATAAGGAAACAGTTATGTAGAGGTGTATGAGATCTCAGAGTCCCTAAGCTTTAAGCACAGTGAGAGTTCTACTTCATGTTGAAATTGAGTAGTTGTGAAAGACACTATCATTCAGAAAGATTTTTAAAATGAGAATATCTTGTATTCAGGATTTTGTTTTCTATGCTCCTCGTCTGAGAATCAATAAGCGGATTTTGGCCTTATGTATGGGAAACCATGAACTCTACATGAGAAGGAGAAAGCCTGATACTATTGAAGTACAACAGATGAAGGCTCAGGCCCGGGAGGAAAAGCACCAGAAGCAGTTGGAAAGGTACACATGGGTACCTGTTCATTTTGAATTGCTTGGGACAGGGTATCTAAAAGTTAACAGACTGCTCAGTTTCATTGGTATACTTTAATGTCAGACTTGGTGTACAGTTTTGGTGATGGGCCTGAAAGGTATCTAAAATAATTTTACCTGTTAGTCTAGAGACTTTATAGTTTTAGTATATTTATGTCATCAAAATAGAACTAGATTGAAATGAGTGTTTAGAAACTCAAACTCTAAATTAAAACACACACACACACACACACACACACATATATATATATATATATATATATATATATATATAATGTAAATAATCCCAAGAAGCTTCCTGGGGAAATGTTATTTGGTTAGGGTGTGGGAAAGACACATTCAGAAGAGGAAGCTAGCATAAACAAATGTGTAGAGATAAGAATATTCAGGGTTTGCCTCGGGACCAGTAAATGGACCAGGTTAATCCTTTTGAGCAATATGCAAAGGAGAAGATTGTCTCCCAGTTTTATGTGGAAGATAAGAAAGGCCTAGCAACCCTAGGTGTCAGCATGTGATGTGAAGAGCTGAATGCTGTTGTAGTTTGGTATGGTCTGTAGAGGTAAGATATGAGAAATGCATCTCAGCGATACTGTAGAATCAATCACAAAACTGTTTTCACATAATCAAGTTAACTGTCTCTCCTATATACTTACTTCATTTTCAGTAGTAAAATAATGTTGTTCCCAGCTTGCTTATTGCCGTGTTCCTTTCAACCTTTTTTTTTTTCCCTGTCTCCATATCTTCTTTACTTTCATCCCTGTAGAAGAGCAGATGAGACACCAATAGGGAAAAGCTAAATGAAGCCAACACCCTTTCCTAGAAGGGACATTTATGCCAGAGTGTGACCCAAAAGGTTTGAGCATTTGGGCTAGGTTACAGCCTACGGGTCTTAAGACTTAGTTTGTACTGAGTCCTCAATAATTAAGGATCTCAGGGCCTGCCAGGAAGAAAGGTAGCTGCCTTGAGGACCTATGGTAGTGCTGTGCATGACTGTACAGAGGCTGTGGAGCGATGCCGTAGCCTAACACATACCCTGGGGTTGTAGACAGTGTGCTGTGGTTATTTGAAAACTAGTACTGCTTCTATGAACAGCCTGAGGGGACAGCAGGCTTTTTAAGTTAAAGGTGGGTCTTAGGTCCTTCTTTTGTCCAAGGAACCTGGTATATGCCAACTTGCCCTTAAGTCTCTTCATTTAGGTTTCCTAGGGGTGTTGAAATTCCCAGCCTCTGAAGTCTCTGCCTGAATATACTTTACAGGTGTTGGCTCTTTATTCTGGGTGTTGAGGAAGTGCATCATAGAGAACTTAGAACCAGCGTTGAACAGCCCTCACCTTATTTATTTACTTATTTTTCCCTTCTTCTTCTCAAATAATTTTTTTTTAAGATTTGATTTTTTTTATTGTATATTGACTGTTTTGTCTGCACATATATATGTGTACCACATATGTGCCTTGTTCCTGCAGAGGTCATAAGAGGGTGTCATATCCCCTGAAATAGGAGTTACAGATGGTTGTGGCCTACCATGTGGATGCTGGGAATTGAACTTGGGTCCTCTGTAAGAACAAGTGCTCTTAACCCCTGGGCCAACTCTCTAGACCCAGATCAGAAAGTCACCACCAGAAACTCCTGCCAACTTGTGACAGTTCTCCGTCAGAGTTCCACATTTCTTGGGAACAGATGGATGCCCAAGATCTGCAGGAATTTCCAAATTCAGGCTTTCATAGTAAAAAAAAAAATACTTTGGTAGTACAGTTTTGTAATATGCCTGAAATTCAGAATTGACACTAGGTGGCTCTTGGTACCGTTTTGTGACTATTAAGGAAATGTTAGAGATGGAATCATTTCAATGAAACAATGTTGTCATTGAAGGTAGTGCTTTGAATATTAAGCATACGAAGCAAGTTTAGTGCTGTCATCTTTTGGTTTTGGTCAAACATGGAGTTTGAGCAAGGGTAGGCTCTTGCTAGATGTCTGATGACAGGTTTTGACTGTATTGGTTCCCCAACTTCTCTACCCACAGTGATATTATCAGGACTGTGACCAACACAGCTAAATCTCCATGGCATTGTTTTCCTTTAACCACATTAAATACCTTCTGCCATCCTGATGGAATTGTGACAGGTGGTAACTACTTGTCATCTTATAGTAGGCATGAATGGCTAGTACCCAGAAATTGTATTAAGTTATTTTTAATGGTTAAAAATCATTGACCTCCCAAGCTATTTGTAGTTGAAGGTACTTTAGTGTTCTCTTTAAACCTTTGTTATTTCCCAGTGGAGGGCTCCTGTTAACTCAAAGAATGAATTCCCTTGGGTTGTGGCGATGGGTACAGCAAGCCTTATTAAGATGTTACGTATTATATGTTCTGTATGCAGATGCTAGATGTCCTGAGTTTTTTCCCACCTGAGTTGGCTTTGAGACCATGCTTTGTACACTTGTTTTAAGTTTTAAAATTATGTGTGTGTGTGTGTTAATGTGTGTATGTACACACATGCATAACTGTGTGGAGGTCAGAAGTTGAGAGCAGCTGGGGAAGACACTTGAAGGACAAGGTCTGTCAGCAAGCTCCAGGGACCCACCTTCTTCTGCCATCCCCAGCTGTGGGGTGCTAACACATGCTGCCATGTAGGGCCAGTGAGTATGCAGTGCAGCATAGTACTAGATACTGAACTGTAGGGAGTGAAGAGATTGAAAATTGTAAATGGTTAGCTTGCACTTTTTTATTTGACTTGGGATTAGTACAAATACGTATTAATTTGTTTCTACCTTTTCATTTGTAACATGTAACTTGTAATTTCTTTAAGGGCACAATTAGAGAATGAAAAGAAGAAAAGAGAAATAGCAGAAAAAGAAAAGGAAAGAATAGAGCGTGAGAAGGAAGAGCTGATGGAGCGTCTAAGGCAAATTGAAGAGCAGACAATGAAAGCCCAAAAAGGTAAGCATTTTTTTGAGCAGTCATTTCAAGATTATTACTGTGATGTTAGATAGCAGTATTTCTATAATGATACAAAATGTTATTTATGTCATATAAGATGTATTTAATTCACAGATTAGTGTTTAGTGGAATCACATCAAAGTCTGTTTAAGACACAGTCAGTTCTGTTGTACTCTTGTTCATATTCATTTTTTAATCATACAAATGTGTATATTCTCTTTTATCATTCATACGTAAGTTCATAGTTTTTCCTTTTCGGGATTCCATAACTAAAAACATGTATTTACTATCTTCTGGCATTACACCAGTGCATTAGTAGAGTGCTTTGGGGCATTGAAGCACTTGAAACATTTGTCAGTCTCCCTGTATAAACTAATCTCCTACAAAATACGGTATTTCAGTGTATTACAGAGCACTAAAGGTTAGAGGTGAGTTCAGTACAATACTTGATTAGTTAGTAGTGTGTTACAGAGCACTAAAGGTAAGGGTGTGGTTCAGTACAACAGTATCAAGCCTATTATGTATAAGGCTTGATATTCAGCTTCAAACACATGCAAGCCGGGCTGTGGTGGCGCACGCCTTTAATCCCAGCACTCAGGAGGCAGAGCCAGGCGGATCTCTGTGAATTCGAGGCTAGCCTGGTCTACAGAGTGAGTTCCAGGACAGGCACCAAAACTACACAGAGAAACCCTGTCTTGAAAAAAACAAAACAAACAAACAAAAAATGTACACTCTTGCACAGATATGTTGTGCTGCTTGTTTGCTTTTGACATGTTTAGATGAAGTTCCTCTTCAGCACGTAGTCAGAGTGCTGAAGTACATACAAAGGACACAGTGTTTACGTTGAGTAACTCCAGATACACTACTTTGACAAAGCAGTAGTTGCAAGAACAGAAGAAAAAAAGTTAATTGAGCAAATTAAATTGTTCTTCCCAAGCCGCAGAATTTCAGCACGTAGTATGAACTTACTCTGTTTATAATACCTTTCCCTAACAATTAGTAGAACTAGACATTCATTTTTATTGGGAATGGCAGTTTTATTTAAGGCTTAGTTTGATTCTATGTGTCATGTTCCCATGTGGAGATGTTTTTCAGAAACAGAACCATTTTTCAGTGGGTGTCCAGAGGAGGTGGTCACACAAGTGACCGTTTACAGTTATTCTAATTCCAGGAGTATTGGGAATATTTTTTAGTAAAGACTATTGTGGCTTTTGAGTGTGTGTGTGTGTGTGGGGGGGGGTATGTTTTTACTCAAATTTGTAACTCAGGCTGGCCTCAAAGTTTTGATACTCCTGGCTCCCTCCTATCAAGTCCTAGGATAACTGACTGGTGCCACCTCACCAGATGAGTGCTTGGGGCTGGACACGGCCGTTCAGGGAAGCACTAGCTGTGCAAGCGTGAGGAGCTGAGTTGGTCCCTGAACTGACAGAGATGGTTGGGCATGAAGCTGAGGTCGGCAGTCAGTGAGGCCCATGTTGTGAGAGATTGTGTCTCCAAAAGGGAGGGCACAGCTTCTAGTTGACTGACTTATGGCCTCTGTGTGTATCCATAGCACAGACTAAATACAGATTTTAAAACGAGTTTTATTCTAACTCAAGTCGCTGAATCTCGCCTCATACCTAGAATTAACTTACTTCAATGCTGAAAGGTTGTAAGGCGTCTATCTATAGACCACAAAGTGGAGATAGGATGTGATTCTTGAATTCCAAATTTGATGCTGTGTATTCTGCTTTGGATACCTTTTTAATCTTCTAGGAGTACAGATATACAACCTACATGGCAGTAAAACTGTCCGGGTGAAAGAAATACATGTATAAGACATTGATAGAGTGCTGTGGTGTGTGTGTGCTAAAGACCACATGACTAGTATAAGTTGTACCTTCAAGAATGCTGGAAAGAAACTTGGATTAAGGGGCATAGGGCACATTGATGGGATGCTTGCTTACATGTGTAAGGCCCTCAGTTTGGTTCTTAGTACCACACACATGCCCTCCTGCATTATACTGAAGGAGAGTTAAAGAATGAAATTTTGATAGTAAAGGAAATATTGATTCATAGCACTTTTAAATTTATATAACTTTGAGCGAATAACTACTAAATCTTTTAATCTCGTTTATTTAGGATGTATAATAAAAGTATTAATGGTTTACATACAAAACTACTCAAAGAAGCACTGAAGAGTATAAGGGAGATAGAACATAAAGAATGTAGCCCACCTTTATCAAGACAGTTGCAAATCAGTCATCTTAAGGCAAAGGACATCCACTGTTTGTTGTTGTTGTTGTTTTAAATAAAGCTTTCCCAGGTGGTCCTCAAACCTACATGATTGTCTTGTAATTTGTACTAAATTCTCATTCAAGTGCAGTAAATGACCATATGTCATGATATTTAGATTAATTATATTTCATTGTCATTTTGTTTTAATTTTTATTGAAGCTGTAATTTCATATGACTTGTTAAATAGAACAAAGAGCAGTTGTCCTAGGACGTCTTGAAGATATATTGGGTATACCTGAAAGGTACTGTCACCAGATCTGACGTTCATTTACTGTTCTAAGAAACAACAAAGTGGGCCGGGCGGTGGTGGCGCACGCCTTTAATCCCAGCACTCGGGAGGCAGAGCCAGGTGGATCTCTGTGAGTTCGAGGCCAGCCTGGGCTACCAAGTGAGTTCCAGGAAAGGCGCAAAGCTACACAGAGAAACCCTGTCTCGAAAAACCAAAAAAAAAAAAAAAAAAAAAAAAAGAAACAACAAAGTGAGTTCAACTTCTGTAAGACAAGCTGTAGGAAGGAGTTGTGGTCTAGTGATCTCATTAATTCTGGGCATGTAATAAGCACTGGGTGCACGAAACTGGATATAGATGCAGTCCCAGCTTTGATGCAGCACACACTTTATTGATGGAAGATGAAGCAGTAACCTAAACAGAATCATTTTATGTAGTTTGAACGGCTATGGAGGAACAGTCAGCATGATAATGTGATGAATATTAGATAGTACTGTTTACAATTAAGAACAAGCTTTAATTTTGTCATCAAGTTAGAATATGACCACAAGTGAGTCATTTTAGCATCCTGTTTTCTCAGGTTCTTAAATTCTGAAGTGGAAATAATCCTTAACTTAGCATTCCAAGATTGTTTTTAGTTAGTTTTGTTTTCTGAAAACCTAAAGACTATCGCAGTGAAGTACTGATAGAGAGGTCTGTATATACCTGTTAGGAGTAAGCCTCCGTCGTTTGTTCCAGGGAGCTCTATTTCTAAAATCATGTAAACTGTACAGTCTTATTCTTGTAGCTTGCCAGAACAAAATAATGAACATTGTGGCATTCTTTATTACTTCGCAGTCATTTGTCATTCCCTATGTAAATTTTATCACTGATTTTTGAGGTCTTAGATTTAGTTTTATCTTTTTTACCCTGGTAGCTTTTTTGAGATACAACTAATACGCCATAAAATGTTTAATATGTTCAGAGTGATGTACAGCTACCACCCCAATCAATTTTCGAAATCTGTCGTCTCTAAGAAGAAATCCCATACCCATTAAACAGTCAACTAAGTTCTCCCAGTAACCCCTCCCAGCCATGGACAAGTGTTAATCCATTCACCGTATCTACAGATTTGCCTTTTCTGTACACGTGACTAGTTTCTCTTACTTAGCCTGGTGTTTTCAAAGTGCATTTGTATTGAAACATGCATGATCATTTCATTCTTTTTAAATTGCTGAATGATATTTTATTTTTTATTCATCAGTTCTGAGGCACTTGCATTGTTTGTATTTCACTGTGTTGTGTATAACTTACGAATGTACATGTACAAATGTATTTTAATGTTTTCATGTTTGTTTTCCTATAGTTGGCCATATTGACTTACATTTTGAGGAACTGCCTAATTGGTTTGAAAGTTGCTTTATGTTCCTACAGCAATGTGTGAATTCTTTGCATCTTCTCCAGGATGTGTTAATGTTTATATTAGGATTATCATCTTCTTAGATGATTACAGTGCTGTTAGGGTTTTGACTTAGACACCTCAGTGCCTAATGATGCTGAGCATCTTTCCATGTGCTTACTTGCCATTTCTTTATTTTGAGGGGAAAACATTCAAATTTTTTTCTCCACTGGGCAATGGGATTTCTTGTTGTTCTAAGGGTTCATATATGTCTGGGATAAAAATCTTTGTCAGCCGGGCGGTGGTGGCGCACGCCTTTAATCCCAGCACTCGGGAGGCAGAGCCAGGTGGATCTCTGTGAGTTCGAGGCCAGCCTGGGCTACCAAGTGAGTTCCAGGAAAGGCGCAAAGCTACACAGAGAAACCCTGTCTCGAAAAACCAAAAAAAAAAAAAAAAAAATCTTTGTCAAGTACATGATTAGCAAATATTTTCTCCCAAGGAGATGGTAACCTAGATGATAACAAGGGCTTGTCTTTGTTAGCATCAAGTGCTGTCGTTTGACAAGAGTGTGATTTCTCTCCCTGCTTTTGTAGTTTCCTACATGCTTTCTGTGTGTTTCCTGGTAATGTACGTATGTGTACATTTGGGGAATTGGCAAGTATTCCAAAGGAAAATAGCATGCAGATTTGATGAGGCTTTTCTCCTTGGTGGCCTGTTTTCAGGCCCTTGCCTCCTAGTACTTCTCCAGTCTCAAGCTCTGCACCTTCTTCTTTGTCCTCCTGGCCCAGTAGAGTACTCGTCCCAGGCTGTGTGGCTTTGCCCTTGTCCACATGTGAAAATGGGTTCTCATTTGTCACACAAAAGGAACATGTGACATATATCCTAGGGTGTTTTGTTTAAGAGGAGGTCTTGTTTATCCCAGACTGGGCTTGAACTTCTGGAGTCAACTGATGGTTCTGCTTCAGTCTTCCAAAGTACCCAGGGCTGCAGCTGCACACTACTGTATCCGGCCAAAAAAATTTGTGCCTTACTGTTTACAATTACTGTGTCCAAAAAATTATACTGTTCATTGAAATCTTCACTCTTTTTTATGATGACATATAATAACTTTGTCACTGCTTAGGTGTACTATTTTTTTTAGCCGATAATGCATAACCATAGTGTTCTGTGATTTCTAAAAACTGTGATTATTGAACTGTTACTTTTTTTCTTCTAAGATTATGTGTATTCTCCAGGAAATCAATAATGTAGTTGATAAACCATTGCCTTACAAAACAGAAAGAAAAAAATTTAATGTTTTGGGCTATATTGTATTGTCTATTAAAACATGTAGGTTTTTTTTTTTTTACTTGTTACTACAACGTTAATAGTAGGTTCTAAACTTGGTTCTTGGGGTGAGAAATCATTTGACTTGCAAAATCATGTAATGCTGGGGTTCAAATATGAGTGAGAAAGAGAAGCTTCCTTAAATTTTATTGATTTGAATTTACATTACCTTTGCCTATCACCTCTCTATTAAATATTATGACCAAACACACCCCTCTGACATGAATAGGGACATAAGCAGTTTTTCTTTTGTGACTTTGAACCTTTGTCTTGAAAGAGTTGATATTTTAAATAAGCTCTGTCACATACTTTATAAACTTCATGCCACACTCCCAAGATGGAAAGTTCTAGATTTTTTTATGAACCAGATGGGGGAAAGTATGTAGTATTTATCGTTTTTATCAAATCCTTTACCAGTCTTGACTCACTTATGGTCTAATTCAGTAAATATTTTAGGCATTTATGCAGTCTCAATTACGCGATTTAGCTATTGTGTGAAAGCAGTAATGTAACTTCTGAGTGAGCATGGTGGTGATGTCTCCATAAAATGTTAATAAAATAGCATTGGGTTTGGTTCATGGGCCAGCGTTCATTAACCCTTAAGATTCCAGTGCACTAGTGAAAGCTGAGCCATTCCACTTAAGGTCATATGACTACCAAATCTTTCTTTGTCGGTGAGACTAGAACAATGTTCATTCTAACATTTTAAAACATAGATTTTTGTTTTGTTTTTCAAGACAAGGTTTCTCTGTGTAGCTTTGGAGCCTGTCCTGGAATCACTCTGTAGCCCAGGCTGGCCTCAAACTCACAGAGATCCTCCTGGCTCTGCCTCCTGGGTGCTGGGATTAAAGACGTGCGCCGCCACCTCCCTGCAAAAGATAGATTATTGTATAATCTTTTTTAAAATCCTTTAAAAAAAATTCTGTCACAAAAAGCTATTGAGTCTACCTATGGGTTTTTTTGTTTTTGTTTTTAAGTTGATACTACAGAAAGCTGATAAAAAATAACATTAGGGAGTATTTATGTCAAAATTTAATTTGTAATCCAAACTTATAAGAGTTTTGTTATAATTTTTTTTCCTATGGCAAACAAAAATTTGGCATACTACCAAACTACCAATTTTGAAGTATATGGTTTAAGGATATGAAGAATTACCTTTCGCCCTTTTCAGTCTGCAAAGCTAAACCTCTGCCTGTTAAGCAGTAGCTCCCCAGTCCCCTCTAACCATAGCATTCAGCATATACCCTTCTGTCTGTGTCTGGCTGTCAGTGAGTGGAATCATGGAGTGTTTTTGTGACTGGCTTATTGCACTCGGTGTAATACCTGCCAGACTCATCCATATTGGAATATGTTTCAGAATTTCCTACCTTTGAAACTGAGCATGTGTTGATGGACATGCACACCAGAGTCATTTTTCTTCTCTAATCTCAAAATCTCCCCAATCTCTAAGTGGGATTACTTATGCTGGTTCTGATCAAGTCCAGTAAAATTAAGAAGCACAATCTTGTCATCACAATTTGCTTTTATAGCTCTCTAAAGGACACAGCAGTCTCCTTGGACATTACGTTCTGTTCTGTCACAGAATTCTTAGTAAGACTTGCCAAAAATAATGCTTAAATTTAGTGTTTTAAAGTCATCTAGGTTTTTTAAAAAATGGTTTTGTGTTAGTAATATTTTCTTACTCAGTTTACTGAGATCAGAAAAAAATTGTGCTTGGTACTTGCACAGATTACAATGCTTGTCAGCCACTTCATTATGTCTTAGGGGGGTATTCTCTCTCTCTCTCCCCCTCTCCCTCCCTCTCCTTCCCTCCCCTAAAGTAATTCATAAGTCACATAAGAGCTTTTATGTCAAATTGCTTTTTAAACTTAGTATCTACAATTAGCCTCTCAAGATTGCTAATGATTTATTAAAAAAATAAAGATTTCAATATCCCTAAATCCAAAATATTTTGAACTTAAATAATAATGTCACGAGTGACAACTGCTCGCTTGACTTCATGCAGCAGGTCTCAGTCAGCCTAGGCACACTGAAGGTACTACATCAGGTTACCTTGAGGTCCTGCACATGAAATGCATCTGAAACAAGGGATTTCATGTTAGATCGAGTCTTAGCTACATTCTTTCACTGTGTACAGTGAACATTGAAAATCCCCACAAACAATCCAAAACACTTTGGATCCTCATGCATTTCTGATAAGGGTTACCCTACCCGGCTTAGTTTTTGTACAACTTACTGTTTTGTCCTGATGCTAAGGGTTGAACCTAAGGCATCCTGTGTGCTAGACAAGCCTTGTACCGCTGAGCTATATAGCCCTAGCCCTCTAGGTCTTCAAATGCATTTATTTAGACATCTCTAAATATGGTAATAACTGAGATAAAGTGTCAGTCGTTACTTTTGGGCAGCACTAAGGATTGCACCTTGGGCCTTGTCCATCTAGGCAGGTGCCTCCTGCTGAGTTATTCCACCCAGGCCCCAGCGTTTCAATTCCCCAGATCAAAACTTACAATTACAGATACTTAAAAAATTCAGTATGTGCTTCTACACAGCTTGAACTGTAAGGGACTTTCAGTGTCCTTGCAGCTTTGAAATACATAATTTGTAATTTTTACTACTCTTTATAAGGTTAAAATTGAAGTGTTTGTGTATTTAGACACATGCTGATCTTTAGAAACTACAGATTTTGGCATCTTGCTGTAATGAGGATGATTGAAATTAACCCATGTCTGTGGGCCGGGTGAAACCTTTGACAGAACTAGAAGAACAGACTCGGAAAGCTCTGGAACTGGAGCAGGAGCGCCAGCGAGCAAAAGAGGAGGCAGAGCGGCTAGATAAGGAGCGACGGGCTGCGGAGGAGGCCAAGTCCGCCATAGCCAAGCAAGCTGCTGACCAGATGAAGAACCAGGAGCAGCTGGTAAGGCCCTGTGTGTTCTCAGAAAAGTAAAACTTTACTAAATATGTGGCGTGACAACCACCCAAGTGTATGACACCTTCTAAAAAGCAGGCTGAAGGGATAGTAACAGATGACAGAAACTGAACATTTTTTGCCTGAAGAAATTAAAAAACCAAACGTAAAGCCAAACAGGATAAGCAAGTCCATGTGTTTTTTATCATGTATTTCCTTTTTTAAATTGAAAATAATTTTCTTTCACATATGGTTATGTTTCCTTTCAAGTGGAGCTAGTGGCCAACAAAAGGATTTTCATTCACTCAGACCACTGGTTCTCAACCTTTTTAATGCTGTGACCCTTTAATATAGTTCCTCAGGTTGTGGTGTCCCTCAACCATAGAATTATTTTTGTTGCTATAACTATGATTTTGCTAGTGTTATGAATCATAATGTAAATATGTATGTTTTCTGATGGTCTTAGGTGACCCCTGTGAAAGGGTTGTTCAACTCTCCAAAAGGGGTCATGAATCAGAAGTTGAGAAACACTGACTTTAGCTTTGGCCTGGCTCACAGTAGGACATGTGGTATCTCGTGCTTTAGATGAATTGACATAGTGTGTTTGGTTTCTGGGTGACATCTATAAGCTACGATTGGTTGGAGTTTTTTTTATTTAATGTACTTCCAAATAATGAGAGTATGTGTGACACAGAGAAGATTCTAAATATACTTATTAATTCAAGTGTTTATTTACTGCATGTCTTGAATCTTGTTTGTGTGTAGACAAAGTCTTGCTACTAACCCAGGCTGGCTTTGAACTCTTGACCATCTCTTCCTACTTCCTAAGTACCAAGAGAGCATGGTTTCCAGGTGTGGGATGCCACACCTGTCCTTTTTGAGCCTCTCAGGTTTTTTTCCTCTTTGAAAATAAGACTGATGAGGAGTCGGATGAGGCTGATGACAAAGTGCCTTTCCAGTTACAGAACACTGTGTAATTTTGTTTGTTTTATGGTAAACTTCTAAAGCAAGCTCTATGCACATTGTAAGCTCTTCCTACCGAAACATAAGTAACTGCTCGTCTGTAGAGAAAAACTTTGCCCCTGTATTATCTCATTATCTCAAGTACCTATTCAAACGAACTAGTTAAGATCATCAGGAAATACTGCCTTTTTAAAAATGGAAGACCAAGAGAAACTTGAAACAGCCCAACCATGCACCTGAAAAGATTTTGACTGAACATGAGGGAATATTAAAAATATTGTCTCTAGTATTCATAATATATAAATATTTTAATTTTAGGCAGCAGAACTTGCCGAATTCACTGCCAAGATTGCACTTTTAGAGGAAGCCAAGAAGAAAAAGGAAGAGGAAGCTACTGAGTGGCAACACAAAGTAATCCTTGTTTTGTTGTGTGCTAGCGTCTACTGACTAGCTGCTCTGTTAGTGAGCCAGCAGTAGGCTTGCCTACTTCCTACAGGTGATGTGAGATCGGTGTATGCTCAGCCCCTGGGACTGTGTAAGGGTTGGCCACCTGGGGGAACCAGACAGAAAGTAAGAAGCTCTTAAGTTGGGTCTTGAAATTAGTTTTAAGATTAGTTTGGAAACGATCAAAGGCTGAAGCGCGTTGTTGACTGTTCCAGACAGAAAAGAATTGAGTAGAGGAAGTAGGAATAGCCAACAGTCAAGTGTGACTCAAAAAAGAAGATGCAGGTATCACTTGGATAATAGAAAACTGAGTTATAGGGGCTTTAAACAAATGTCTACTGATGCAAATTGGTGGATGTGTGTGTGTAGATAAACAGGTTCTGAAGATTTGAGAACACAACACAGTCAAGTATGATTTTATAAAAACAAAATCAAACAAAAAAAGAACCCAAACCTTACCATTGTGAAGTATGGATTGGGATATCGGGTGCTTATAAGTGCCCGAAGGATGTGGTAGTGAAAACGACAAGAATGGAAAGAATTCAGCGTTCTCTGGGAACTGAAACAGACCGAACAACCAGTTACAGGAGGTAGCTTGAATTAGGGGTTGTGCTTTTGCTATGAAGGAAGATTGTTTTATTAGCATGCTTTAATCCTACGTGGACATTGGCATTTTCATACATGTGTATACGGTAGTCTGACCATATTCCCCTAGTTACTCTCTAGTCTGCTGCCACTCCCATGATACCCTTGCTCTTCTCACTTAGCATCTCCCCTTCTGCTTTCCTGGATTAGTTTCTTTTTAATGGACCAGTGAGTTTGTTAGGGTTACAGAGCTTGAGTAAAATCTTATTTACAGGAACGTGGTCAGCTTGTCAGTGGGTACACCACGGAGGTCAGCAACCATTAACTCCCTGCTCCTGAGGGAGGGGTGGGTCTCCTGAGCACTTTTCCCCAGCAACCTTTAACTGCTTATAAATCTTAAGGGAGCAGTGGATACTGTTAAGATTTCTAATGAGAATTCACAAGTGCAAAAACCAAGCTTGTAATTGGAGGGGTGGTACAGAAAAGATAGTGAGTTTAATTTAATAACATCAACTTTAAGTGCAGTTTAATTTTTTTTTTAAGTAATGTGATATATACTTTTTTACTTTAAGTGCATTGGTGTTTTGCCTTTGTGTGTGTCTGTGTGAGGATCCTCTGGAACTGGAGTTACAGACAGTTGTGAGCTGCCCTGTGGGTGCTGGAGATTGAACCCAGGTCCTCTGGAAGAGCAGTCAGTGCTCTTAACAGCTAAGCCATCTCTCCAGCCCCCCCCCCTTTTGTGCAGTTATAATTTTATACCCATGGAAGGTACATGCAATATGTGATGGTTTTTCGACAATCAAATACACTTACTGTATAAAATGTTTTTTTTTCCTGCTCTTAAATTTCTTTGAGGCAGTTCAATTTTTATTGGAGCTCTTTTGACACACTACATGTGTATATATGCAAAAAATATAAAATACATATAAATAATTAAAAGGGTAAAATGGTTAATCTCCCTGTTACACTGCTTTTGTCATGAGAATTTTATAGACCCTATTTAGAGAGAGATTTACGAACTTTAGAGTCATACAAACTTAAAATATATTACAACTGCAAGTCCTGTGAACAGTTTAAAAATGCACACAAATCAACAAAAGTTAATTTAAAAATAAAATGACAGTCCTACAAATTAGGACATTATTTTAAAACATTAGCATATATCCTCTCCTATTTCCTATGTTGATGTATACAGTTATATATGTTTGAAATGAAATCTTCGTTTATATAATTCCATTTTATTGAATTTTATCTCATCTAATGTTAGATTATATTTAGATTCCAAAACTTAACCAATAAGTTTGGTAGTTTGTAGGTGGTTTGCTGTGCCATGTGGAGAGCAGGAGTTTAGATCCTGTTTGTTTAAATCCTAACTGTACAGGATAGTTCCTCTGCTCATACTGATTTGCTGAAGGGACTTGTAGACTGCCCTTCCTTAGGTGTTTGTCTAATTGCTTCCTCATTCACTCCGTCTTACATCACGAGTAGTTCCTGTAAACTGAAATGTCATTCTTAAAGTTTTGTTTGTTTGTTTTGTTTTTCAAGACAGGGTTTCTCTGTGTGGTTTTGGTGCCTGTCCTGGATCTTGCTCTGTAGACCAGGCTGGCCTCGAACTTGCAGAGATCCACCTAGCTCTGCCTCCCAAATGCTGGGATTAAAGGCATGTGCCACCGCCGCCCCGGCTGATTCTTATAGAAGACCTCCATAGTTTAGGAGCCCTGTGAGAGTAAAATAGAATACTCCTAATAGGACATAGGACAAGACTGCAAAGTGAGACTTTTCTAGGCAATCCAGGAAGTACTGTCCCCCAAATCATCAGTGATTTAGATATTTCATGTTGTATCATGTGAGGTGAATTATCTAGTTAAGTGAGTGATTTAATGGACCATTAGAGTAATGACAGTCTGGTTCCTCCATTAACTGTTTTATTTTTCTGCTTGTGCTCCAGATATAATCTATTAAGTATGCCATTTCGCATCATTGTACAAATTTAAGTTGTTTTCCACCAAGCATTTGCACAACGGTTACAGCAACAAAGAATAAACTTGTATTCATATTTTTAATCAGGAGATATTTGTAAAATTTTTATGTCTCCTACCTACTGGAATCCTTTGAAAATGGGCTTTTTATTAAAAGGACTTAATATTACTACTCTGAAATGTAATTTTTTTAACAAGACAGAATAAATTGTTTTTATTCCCAGTTTCACAAACTTATTTTCAATGTTCAGGCTTTTGCAGCTCAGGAAGACTTGGAAAAGACCAAAGAAGAGTTAAAAACGGTGATGTCTGCGCCTCCTCCCCCTCCCCCTCCCCCAGTCATTCCTCCCACAGAAAACGAGCATGACGAGCATGATGAGAACAGTGCCGAGGCCAGTGCAGAGTTGTCCAACGAGGGGGTGATGAACCACCGGAGCGAGGAGGAGCGGGTGACGGAGACCCAGAAAAACGAACGTGTGAAGAAGCAGCTCCAGGTACTGGTGCAGCCGTGGGTGCACTTAGACCCTTGCAGTCTCCATGGAAATCAGTTTTACAAATGTCTGACTCCTGATACGGGCCAGCCTTGTGACTGGCTTGTATTTGTCCTGAAGTGATATTCCTCTTTCCTTCCGTCATGCAACCCTGTCAGCACGGGGCTTTGCCAGCTGGGGAGTTTTCAGTTACAGATTATTGGCTCATTTTCGAAGGAAGAAAGTATTCTAGTACTGTGTAAATGAAGTTAGCCTTTAAAACAGTGATGCAATAATTGATACTTCATCCTTTTTCTAAAATACTGTCATCAGAATTATTTATATTTAAAACTAAAAGATCAGTTTATTAAATGTGCATTATTAGGTCAATAGGAAATTTCAGCATTATTCAACAGCTTAAAAACTAACCTCTCTAATTTTTTCAGTTGGTGAAATCTTAATAAAGAAGTGATAATTACAATAACTATTAAGATTTCTAGAGAAAAATGTCCATTTTATATCTTATATTAACTTTTCTTTAAAATGACTGCCTTGTACTTGATCAGTTATTTCATGTATTGGATTAAGAAAGTTAAAGCAGTGCCGGGCAGTGGTGGCGTATGCCTTTAATCCCAGCACTCAGGAGGCAGAGGCAGGAGGATCTCTGAGTTCGAGGCCAGCCTGGGCTACAGAGTGAGTTCCAGGAAAGGCGCAAAGCTACACAGAGAAATCCTGACTCGAAAAATGAAAAAAAAAGTTAAAGCAGTTCAGAATATATAAAATATGGCTGATGACTAAAGAAAACAAAGCCTTGGGCATTCCTCCCTATCACAGTTACTAAAAAGAAGCTTATGGGGCTGGAGAGACAGCTCCGTGGTTAAGAGAACAGCCTGACTGCTCTTCCAGAGGACCTGGGACCAAGCACCCACATGGCAGCTCACAACTGTCTATAACTCCAGTTCCAGGGGATCCAGCACCCTCACACAGACATAAACATGCAGTCAAAATGCTAATGCATATGAAATTAAAAAAAAAAGATGAAGCTTGTATACCATCCAGAAAACTACTCCACAGTGGAAAGATTAATCATATAGTAAAGAATCAGATTTGTTTTCCATGTATTTTTGCATCTTTAAACTATTTTCATAATTTTTTAAACTTTAATAGTAATACTTTCTTTTTTTAAATGCAGGCATTAAGTTCAGAGTTAGCCCAAGCCAGAGATGAAACTAAGAAAACACAGAATGATGTTCTTCATGCTGAGAATGTCAAAGCAGGCCGTGATAAGTACAAGACTCTCCGACAGATTCGACAAGGCAATACAAAGCAGCGCATCGATGAGTTTGAAGCAATGTGAGAGCTGTTCTTGTGATACATGTCCTTCATAAGCTGAACCACCACCAGAGAAATCAGGCCTTTGCAGATGCGATGGAATGCATCCCACCTTGCCAAAGCACTCATACCAGTTGACTGTGCTCACTAGCAGGATTCTGAGGGGCGCTCTTCAGCATTAAGGCAGTGTGCTGTCATGTTTGGTCATTTTTCTTTTGGCCAGGGAATGGATAATGCTATTCTGTCACCTCTTTGTACATGTTTCATTTTTTTGTTTCTGTTTCATTTTTTTTTTCAGTTGAATATTGACACTAATAACATTGTCTGATAAATGTGTATGTGTGCTTTGAGCACTGTGTACATGTTAGGATAATAGTGGACATTTCAATGCATGTTTAGTTAATGAACTCATTTTTATTTGCCCTTTCCATGTTTGGCCTACATACATTTCCATGTTCACACTCATGTTTTTTCAGTATGGCCTTCTCATGCCCTGTCATGGCAGAGCCATAATTCTAATGTCATACAGATCACTTACTGGAGGTATTTAAAATGAGGTGTTGGGGTAAACAGACCCAGGTAGATGAGACAGTGGCCCTTGTGTAGGAGACTGCATCACGAGGCGATGAGAACGTTGAACAGCACGGTATACAGAGGTGGTTAATTATTGTAGAAATCCCTTCATCACGTTATTGGGCGTTGGCTTTCCATTTACTCAAATACAGTTGTCATGCCTGCTCGAGTGATTGGTGGATCATGTCCTGTAATCCTTGGGTGGCTTTACTTGCCTGCCACCTCAGAGATGGACCCAGCAGGAAGCACTCCTAGGAGAATTATTGATGAAACAACTGCCTGCGAGTAAGTGGTCTCTGAAAAAAATTCAAGGTTTGTTCTTAGGTTGATTTAGAAACACATGTCTAATAGAAGATACTGTTGATAACTGATTTTAATTGTTGAAAACAAACAAACCTGGGCCTTTCTGCAAGGGCAGCAGATGATAGCATCAGTTCCAAGAAAGTAATACTACCTCACTCTATACCTGTGGTGACTGTTCACACACAGTGTGTGTGTACACTGCGTGTCTGTCCTCCGTAGACAGTCTCAATCATGTCCTTCATTGAATATACTTTGAGATTCCAGTGCTAATGTTTTAACTGCCTTTTTGTTGACTCGTGGGGCTCTGATGTATGTTCAGATTGTATGTTCTCACTGGTATGCTGTTTCCTGAGGGGTGTTCTGTGTCTGAAGAAGTGGAGTGGCCCTTTATGAGAAAGACCTCGCCTTTGCAGCATGGGAAGGATTCTCATCCTTTATTCTTGGTAGGATAGGTACATCATTTTAGTGTATTTGGTTTCTAAATCACTGCTTACTTTATTTGCAGTCTCTAAAAACAAATCTATTTCAATTATGTCTTATTGAAGTCTTTCCAGCTAGAAAGATGCTCTTACATTCTTAGATCATGAAGCACCTGAGTTTGAAGATACAGAAAGCCTTGTTTTCTCTGTGTGGTTCAGCTACGTTCCATTTGGTATTATGCACTCAAACTTACATTTATCTATTACAATTGCCATTTTATTAAGCAGTTTTCATGCACAGTAGATTCAACTTGTGTCTGATTTTGCTGACTTTAAAAGGAATAATTTGGGCAGATATTATGAAAAGGAAAGGCCTTGCTTAATATATTTTTTGGACTCTGTAGGACAAAAGACAACTGGTTAACCTTGCAGTGACTGTTGTGCAGTGGTTGTGCACATGCTCAAATTCATTTTTGAGGGAATGTTCCTGCTTTCCATACATGAGAGGGAGAGGTGGTCGGTCTTACTGCTCTACTTTGAAACGTGAGCATTCACTTTCCCAAAGCGCTAGAGCAATAGTCCTTATTGCTAGAAGAATTGACTGCCTATGGATTTTCCCCTGTCTGCATTGTGTACGTTATCATTGCTACACCAGTTGTTACAGTGTTGAGAGGCTACCAGTTATATTTGCTGTTAATAGTCTATTTGTAGATTAGTATTAAAATGGGTTTAATCCATTTTTAAAGCTGTATGGATTTTTCTAAAGGAACAGCCATTTGCAATATGGGTTTTCATAGAGATTAAACCAATTATAACGTTTATCATTAGCAGTTGAGAGCACATGTTCATATAGCAATGTAAAAACACACTAATGAGTATTTGGTAATTTCCCATTAGCATAATTTCATGTTGTACAAGTAAATTACAATTACATCTCTAATTTTGGATAATATTCATTGGTTAACAATAAAGTGACAAAAGCTCATGCCTTTGAGGTCCACTGTTGTTATTTAACATGGTTTTCTCATATATTTCTTGAAATTATAATTTGAGCCATGAACTATCTGATCTTAGGAAAAAAGTTTGAATTCTCCTAGACTTCTCTTTTATCCCCCTTTTACATTGTAGAGGTCACGGTGACTTTTAGACTCATGCCATCTGTAGGTGATTTGGGATTTCCAGGCATTGCTTTGTTTACACTATTTTCTCTTTCCTGAGGAAGATAGAGCTTCACTCTTGATGATTCCTCTCACTGTTAAAATTGTGGTATTCTTTGCATTCTATGCTAAGTACCATTAGTCTTCCTAAAATTGTATCACAGCAGTCCACCGTGAACGTGGATTGCCTTTTAGATAGTCTTTCGCTAATACTTAGTGAATATTCTTAAATAAAAGAGGAACAGCTCTCCTCTGAACCTTTTAAAAGCCAAGAATTGTTACTTTTTCTGTCTTTAAGAGTAGGTAGTCATTTCTCTGATCTTGAAAAGCAAAGACATTTTTATAGAATGTTCTACTTTTTATCTAGAGAGTTTTTTTAAGCTAGAATTACTGCTTTTAAACTTAACATTCTATTGGAGTTTTTCTTTATTATGTATAGAAAAATGGCTTGGCATTAGTGTTGTGGTTTGGAGTAATTCCCATTTTTTCTAATTTTCATCACCTTTTAGATTTGGAATGTTTTAAGAAACAAAAGGATAAACATTAAATCCACAAGTATATGTGCCCCAATAAAAATTCATCTTTTTTTGAAAGTTAAAACTTGAACTAAAATATAAGTGATTATTAAATTTGAGTTAATTTACTGATCAGGGAGGCAAATGTGGCCTGTCACATAGAGTGATGCTCTCCTTATACATCTTGGAAGTTGAGTGGACTCTGTATATTTCGGTTACATCATAAAAATGTCCAAAAGCTAGGTGTGGTGATGCACACCTGTGATCTCAGAATTCCAGAGGTAGAGGCAGGGAATCAAGAGTTCAAAGTCATCCTTGGGTACACCATGAGTTGAAAGCCAGCCTAGGCTAAATGCCACCCCTTCTACTCCCCATGCCAAACAATCAGACCATCACTTGTACTCCTGCTTCTACGCCATAAATAAGCTGAAACATGGGCATGTTTGCTTTTTCAACCTTGGCTTTTCAGATAGCTACTTCCAACTCCTGTTTTCCTTAGACTTATCTCTTAGTAATGAGGCCATCTTTCAGGAGTTTAAGAACTGCCATTTCCTGATGAAAAGGGCTGTGGCTCCTGTCTTGTCTGCTCTTTGACCCCTTCAGCTCTGCAAATCAAGTGTTCTGACTCAGGCTTGTACACACTCACTCCCTTAAGCATGACATTTTCCTTGTTACATACATCACCCAAGGGCTGAAGTGTTTCCTTCCTGCTTATATACACACGGCCTTAAGCATTGAAGTGTTAACTTTATCTCATATAGAACTTTAAGGTAAAGCCTATGACTAAGAAAGCCCCATTTAGGTCACCTTTGTGTCTGTCTGTGGTGCTCCTGAGCACTTGTGGTTCCACATTTTTTATTTAGTAACCTTCATTTAACCAAAAATGTTTATTAATTGCCTGCTATATTTGGGGACTTGAAGCAAGATAAGAATGACCATCGCCCTTCAAATACAAGACTTGAAATATTAATTTACCTTAATTCTTATATCAATTTGCATTTCTCAGTTACAGTATCAGTTTACTTTGAAAATGTCAGTGCCATATTGTTGCTTTGTGCTATTTTGTATGCCTCGATTTCCTCCACACTTACAGCTAACCTGGCTACTCCCATCTTTGAAGTTTATTCCCCTGTCCTAATTGTTCATTTTTACTTAATTTGAAATTTGGGGTTTTATGCTTGTCATGTCATTAGTTCCTAGAAACCTAGTGGAACTGGCTTTTGCTTTGCGTCTTATGCCTAGTAGCAAGCATGCTGTTAGGATTTGGGGACGTTCAGGTGACTTGGAAGCTTTTCTGATTAGATGTGGATTGTAACATTCTTCTCTCACTGTTACAATATGTATAACCTTTTCACTTTCTCAGTTTGTGTATTCTCTTAGACGTAGAAACATGCATTTCTTAGGATCCTAAGAGTATCTTCCTCCTCCCATTCCTTTTATTCATACTAAAAACCTATGAAACTCAAGTTAGCATTTGAGTCATCATTCCATTTATATAGTTCTTTCAGTTCTGAATGCATTAGCTAAAAGATGAGAGTTGTACAATGATGAGAACGAGACATAAGGAAGGTCAGTAGCAGGAAAGTGAGCAGCCAGGATAATGAGTAATGGGTGTGGTGTTATCCACAACAGTGTAGTTCCCAGGGAAGCTTGTTCTTTGATACATTACAGTGTCTTCTCTGATACATTACAGTGTCCATTTCATGAGTCAAGCTTTAAAAGTTGGTTAATAAAGATACCCTAGAGATGAAGCTCCTGATTTTAAGTCTGTAACTATAAGAAGATTCACTTTATACTCAGTCAAGTAGCATAGTCAGAGGTATGTGCATTAGGTGGGAGTTTGGAGTTAGAGATTTTGGTTGAATATTTATGGGTTTGTTTTGTGATAAACTTTTGCAAGATGAGCTTGTTATTTTAATCACTTCAAGGGTGCAGCATGGTAGTGCCACATTGTCATTGTTGTGCACCCATCACCAGCATCCATCTCCAGAGCATCTTCATCTACACTGAAGCAGTACTCGTTGAAGGACGACTCTCTTGCTGGTCCCTGGTGG